TCCTCCTCCTCCTCCTCCTCCTCCTCCTCCTCCTCCTCCTCCTCCTCGTCCCTGTAAGGTGCGAGTCCACCGAGGCTCAAATAAAATGGGAGAAATGCTGTTTTTTTTTATTTTTTATTTTTTAATGAATGTATGAATTGAGTTGAAAACGTGTCTCAGACTTAAACCTTTGGTTATATTCACTTCGTGTTCTGTTGTGTTCAGTTCAGTCTTTGTGCCTTCAGTCAGTTTTCCTCAGTCATCCTGCCACACCCATCTACACCTGCTCCCCGTTTCATCTGTCTCAGCTGCAGTTCCTCAGCTTCACTTCAAGTTCAATTTTAAGTCATTTTATTGTCACTTCCATCACATGTGGTACGTGAGGTGGAAGGAAATTGTGTAGTCTGGGTCCCAGTTACACCAAAAAATAGCAAAACTATAAAGTATTAAGAATATAAAAAAGGATCTAAGAGATACACTAAACACTAATGTAAAACAATATGGCGTAACAGTAGCCTGAACATGAGTCTGTGGTGAGCAGATGGGTATGAATGAATACAGCAGCATGAGATCAGCAGCAGCATGGGAAAGTCAGCAGCATGAGATCAGCAGCATGGAATAATCAGCAGCATATATAATACGCAGCATGAGATAATCAGCAGCATGGATAATCAGCAGCATGGATAATCAGCAGCATGGAATAATCAGCAGCATATATAATATGCAGCATGAGATAATCAGCAGCATGGATAATCAGTTGCATGGATAATCAGCAGCATGGGATAATCAGCAGTATGAGATCAGCAGCAGCATGAGATCAGCATCACGGACAATCAGCAGCATGGGATAATCAGCAGCATGGGATAATCAGCAGCATGAGATAATCAGCAGCATGGATAATCAGCAGCATATATAATCAGCAGCATGGGATAATCAGCAGCATGGAATAATCAGCAGGTAAGTCATATATCATCAATTTAAGCGGCATTATAGTGGGTTTTTTTTTCCTTACTGGTTAGGGATTTATGAGTCTATCGGCTTCAGGGTAGATGTTGTTCCTCAGTCTAGTGGTTCTACACTTAATGTTCCTTAACCTCCTGCCTGAGGGGAGCAGCGCATAAAGTGTGTGTGCTGGGTGAGTGGGGTCCTTCATGATGCATGTGGCCCTCTTCCTGCATCTGGAGGTGTAGATGTCTGTTATGGTGGGGAGGCTGACTCCAACAGTCTTCTGTGCAGCCTTCACCACTCTCTGCAAAGTTTTTCTTTCTGCAGCTGTGCAGCCTCCATGCCACATGTTGATGCTGGATCACAGGATGCTCTCCACTGCACACCTGTAGGTGAGGACTGAGCTTCCCAGACCAGCTCGTCTCAGCTGCCTGAGGAAGAAGAGTTGCTGATGTGCTTTCTTTATCAAGCAGGTGGTGTTGTTGTCCCAGCTCACCACATAGTTCACACACCAGTTGTGCATTTTCTGTGCCACACCTGGCTTCCCTTGTACCTCCCTATAGCTCATCGTGCTTATCCTCTGATTTTTTGTAGCACTGCAACACAATGTGGATTATATAATGATACAAAAGTCATACCTGTGACATGTTGCACTTTTATGTTTTTTATTTATGCAATGCAGAAAATCTTTCTATGTGAGCATCATAAGGAAACATAATCCATAACTGTATATACATTTCTAATAAATAAATATTTGTTTGAAATATTTTCTGAAAATTCAGACTTGATTTTGTCTCACCTGCTCAGGCTGAGATTTCAATGCATCACATTAGCCCTGCTAATAAAATGCACACTCAAAGATTGAGATTAGATGTGACTGCACATAAACCAAAGGTTAAACGGTGGTATATTTGTTTCTGACTTTTGAAAGAACCCAGTTTTTGTACTCATTTAAAGGCTAAATCCATTTACATTGCCAGTGATCCAGAAGTGAAATGAGAACAACAAACAGAAAGCGAGAGACATGTTGGAGTGACACACTACACCTCCTCCAGTAATTGGTTGTTACCTGTTCAAATATCCCCCGTCCGCTCAACATCCAGAGAAATAAAGCTCTAATTACAGGTTTTAAAAACACAGGTTGAACCACTGATGAGGCCTTTAAGGAATAAAAAAACAATCAGTGAAAGTTTTAAATGGTGCACTAATGATAATAATCACATGAGATAAATGAGAATAGCAAATAATAAGAGGATTTAAAAATATTTATATGTAAATTACCCCCCAAAACATCGGATGTTCATGAAAGAACTCAAAAGCAAAAAAAAAAAAAAAAAAGTCGTAAAGCATTTCTGTTTGTGCTCCACTGAATAAAAACCAAATAGACCTCTAAACATTATTTTTTCTTTGATTTCCACATTGTTATGGAAATATATGCAGCTAGGGGAGCGATGGAAATAATCCCTTCCTGAAATCTGGGGATTTGAATGTGTTCATTACACTGAGTGGATCCCTGACACGTCTTCCTCCAACAGCAAACAAAAGCAGCTCAGAGAGCAGGTCTTCATCGGTTTGCTCACATCGTATGGCCAGTAATGGGGCTGCACACATCTGAGGTCATTAGAGGAAGAAGAAAAAAACTTCCCTGGACTTAATGAATGCAAACTATTTTGGTGTCAGGGAGTTCTGTTGGGGGCCACTGGTAGGACTGGGATCAGGCCATCCTATTAGTTTGCAATCTTTTCACGCTATAATGGTTTGAACAAATTGACATGAAATTAAGATGATCAAGATGACAATGACTTAACATGGATCAGTAAATTGGGCTTGATGTTTACACAATAGAATAAATTAAGGATTTTCTACAATAAAATGTCCAACATATTGACAGGAAACTTTCATTTAGTCAGGTCAGATTGAACATTTGGTATCATGTTCAAAACAAATGTATAGTTTGGATGTTTTATTTGTCTCTTCATAAAACACCAAACTGTAGAACAGTTTTGCTCAAAGTTGCCGTCATCTTTTCAAAATGAAGCATTTTCAGCGATGGTTAAAGGAAATGCGACTCACAGTCTGTGTTTCCACGGAACACTTCTCGTTAAGAGCAACATTTCAAGGCCTCCACAAACATCACTGACGAGAGCGCCACATCTGACTGAACTGGACTGAAGCCAAAATAATTAACTCAAACTCAAGGACAGGTGGCTGAAAGCCTTCGTGGATGAATGCACTGACCTCTGATAAGACCATTTGTTTTCGTCAAATGCTTTTCCACAGTAAAAGAGGAACTGTTCTTTGCTGTGGGTGAGCTGTAGATCCTGAGAACTCGGAGAGAAAAGAATCAAACACTGTTTGCTCTGCCAGCTGTCAACCTGCCCAGAGCCTCTGGTTGCGTGTTCAGAACTGACAGACTGGAAGTGTGGTGACGTGGACTCAGGCGGCCAAGAACATACTATCACCACAAGGAGCAGATCACATCACCATGGTTACAGTGTAATAAGGTCAGAGTGTGACGCTGGATGTTATCGTCTTAACAAAAAGACATAAAGGTTTCGAAACAGACGCACTGCAATTCTAGCTTTTTTTTTTAATTATTATTATGTTCAGTCATGAGTATAAAAAGAACTCTAACTCTGATTTATGGGTTACTTGTGAATATTTAGTTAGCATACAGGGAAATACATTTTCACTGGAGCATGTGGTGAGTCCTTTTTTACTTAAAAAAAAAAAGTTAACTGATGATGATAGTTAATCAGCAGATTAGCTGCACAAGTGTGAAAATCTTGTACATTACTAATAAATAAATAAACCATGAGTATGACCACTTTTAGCATCGCAGAAAAACTTAACTTTCTAGCAGCAGATACAATGCTACAAAGAAATGTATCAGAAGTGAGTATATTTATCATTTATTTACATCAAACTTATCTCAAGTGCAATAAAACTTACACTTTCCTGTTCATTAACTAATGACATTTTGCTGATAACATTAAAAAAACATTTTGAAAACAGATGAACATTATGTGAGGGATTATTTGTTCATTGCTTAAAACACAAGTAACTATAGTTTAAGTTCTTTGGAGCATTTTATACATGAGAAGAGCTGCAAATATTCTGACTAGGCCGAACCAAGACACGCTTAAAAGTCACAGATCGTTTAAAAACAGTCAAAGACTTTTGACGGTATACGATATAGACTTTTACTCAGTCTGATTTAATTTGTACTTTTTTATGACAATAACTCCCATGAGAAATCCTCGTGTACAAGAGTTTGAAACAAAAATGAGCTGTTGTGAAAAAAATAAAATAAAAATCCCCAAAAAAAGTACTGTCCTCGAGTCAAAGACAAAATTTAGCCTCTTAAAGAGCATTGTACTCCACACACTTGGATGGAACGGTGGAGAAGTGTTTCTGGCAGATAGTCATGAGCCTCTTCAGTCCCTGAGAAATAAAAACAATGTAAAAAGTTAACAGTTATTAAAACACAAAGTAACATGCAAGATCATACTTTTTCATTTCATCCTTTTTAAGATATAAACAAAATGTTAGCATTTAATGGAATTTATTAAATAAATAAATCAGTTTTTTTTTTTTTTATCTGTGCTTCTGAATATCTACTTGGGTGTTAAAGTCACAACCACTCCTGAATGTAAAGTAGTTAATAATAATAAAAAGATAAAACTGAAAATATTTCAGGTGTGATTTACAAATTTGTTGGAAAGTACCACAACGCCACAATCTGCTGAGAGCATTTATTCAGAATCTCCATTTTAATGTCTTTCCAAATTCTAGTTTATTCTGCATTTGTTATATTTTAGATGTAGAATCACAAAGCTGCTTCTCTAGTTTTTTTTTTTTTTTTGCTTAGTTAATACCAATAAACTGTCGTCAATATTTATATACAGTTTTAGTAAAATCAATAAATAAATACATGTTACAGTTGTAATAACTACAAGTCCATTCTGAAGTTTTTGCATCAGGATATATTAGAAAAAAATTAATTTTCTAAATAACTGAGTTTCAAACATTGTTTAAAAGGAATTGTACCATTTTTGACAACAATGTTTAAGTTATCTGATGTTTACAGGGTTTTCTTTATGAACACTCAGGTCTAGCATTGATTGTGTTGAAGGTTGAAGTCTGACTTTTCAGGATATTGACTTGTTTACTATTTGCATTGCAGATTTCTTGTTGTGCTTGAGATCACTGTTCTACATGACGAGAATCAGCTGTATGACAGATGTTCAAGCATATTACTCTGATTTTTTTTTTAACTGCTGCTAAACAACCCAGATATGCTTAGCTCTCCACTACTGTGCTTGATGGATGGTGAGAGGTGTTCCTGCTTCTTGAAAATATGAACGGCATTAAAATAATAATTTAACCTGCTCTGAAATTAACTCAGTGGCTTTTTAATGTATGCTCGATCCTACAGCAATGATTGGCTTATTAGATTGTTGGGGATTACTGAAAAGAGGTAGATGCTATGTGAAGTTGAAGTTGGCTTGCTTCACCACGTTAAACTGGCCACTCCACTGTGACGCATCTTGACCAAAGCATGTTCTGAATGTTTCAAAAAGATTTCAGAAAATTGTGATCATAATTTTGCCAAATAAAAACAGTTAGTGATTTTAGAACTTTTTAAAAAGGAACCTTCAGCTATATTTTATTAAAATCCAGATATAAAGTAACGCACCTGAATGTATTTTCTTTGCGTCTCGTCGTTGAGAACGTGAGCCACGTGTTTGGAGAAGATCTTTTCTCGTCCAGTACGGGCGTGGATACCCACCATGGTCACGCCAATGGGCCAGGGAGCATTACCAATGGCCATCTGTAGATATGCATCATTTGCCTGAAATCAAAATAGGTACAATTATGAAACATGAGATGATACATTTACACAAGTAAAAAAGGCTAAACAGTATATACATACCTTCACATATTCTCTCTCCAGCATGAATTTAATGATGTCGGTGATAGATTCTTTTATGTCAGCTGGTAAATTCTGAATTGAATAAAAAAAAAAAAAGAATAATTAAAAAGAAAAAAAAACACTCCACTAGTTATAGGCTTGTGCTGGAGTCTGTTTTATACTGTTTTTTTTAAACATTACCTTCTTTCTGAGCTTTTTAAAGAGAGGCTCGAGATATGACTGAGTCTGGGAGTGTGTTGCGCTGGCCAGCTTTCCCTGGACACCACGTTTCACATGGTCTTCTCGGCTGTTCAGATCTTTGGCCCAAACACCAAGAAGAAACTACAGCACAAATGAAAAAAAAAGCTTTAAAATGTCTTTGCAATGCATATAAAATGCACCAATATTACTTCATCCCACTGTGAAGCATTAAAACACAATGCTTAAATTGTAACATCAATGCTGTGTTAAAGAAGAACAAGTTCTTTACAGTATGCCGATATAAAATAACACAGTACGTAAAGAAAAACACAGCAGTTACAGAACTAGAGTAAATAATTGAACCAACAGCTCCTTCTAGATTTGAAGAGAAGCACAGTCTTCTTGCCTTACCCTTAAAAATTTGGCGATGACATCCTGATCGCCACTGTCATCCCCTGTACCCAAGGATTTCCCAAGAGCCTAGAGAGTGACATTGACATTAATATACAAACATTTACCAAAGTTTTTATAATAACTAAAACAAGCATGGCACAATCTTACGCAAAACTTTATTTGAATTAAACTTTTTAGTAACTGGGCCACACTTGACTGAGAACTGTACCTCGAGCTCCTCTATGGTGGTGTTTTCTTCATGAACTTTCAGGTCATGCTGCGTGTCCACATCCCCCGGTTCTGTCCCTCCAACAATCTCATTCAGATACTGCTGGTCTATCTTGTCCATGGCAGCTTTCAGGTCATTTCTCAATCCCTGGACACAGAAAAATAAAACAATAAGTATCATTAGAATTCCTTGTCTTGACCTTTTGACAAATTAAAGTTCAAAAAGGTAATGCTTTATATCTGAAAGTGAGCCAACAAGAATCTTTCAGAAGTTTCAGCATTTATTAATTTATGAACCTGCAATAGGCATGCTACACCGACATGACATAACTATAACAAAAAAAAAAAAAAATACAGTTCAGTCCTACTACCTTGTTTACTTCTGGGGTCAGGATCTCAATTTTCCTCAATCTCTGGAAAGCATCATAATCTGACTCTCCAAACAATCGGATCGGTTCCACTCGTTCTCGAAGTCGTCGAATAACCTGCATAAACAGAGAAAAGTTAAAATACCGGTATTAAATGGGTAATAATAAAATAATGACAGAAAAAAGCAAATGTTTTTATGATCTCACCTCCTGTCTTGACAGTGTCATTGGCAGTTTCTCCTCTGTTAATTCCAGTTCTAACACCGGGTTAGATGAAGTGGACGGTTCATTTTCTACCTTTTTATCAATCTTTAGGAGAGCATGAAGGGAAAGAAATATAGCATTGTTATAGGAAGACGTAATAAAACAGAGTGAATATGATCATATCAAAACAAGTTTTCTTGCAAGAAAAAAAGCAAAAACAAAGCAAAGGATATGTGCAAAAAGTGTCTTTGTGAGACGATAACTCAAACTGAAAAGAATGCGCATCATTTAACTGCACATATTTACAAAGCCAAAACAGCAAAAGAAAAAAAGATGAATCTGGTTACGGTACTTTCAGTTTCAATATATGTAATTTGAACATTGTTAGCACATTCTAAAACTCCACTGCTGAAGAAAAACATGTAAAGTATAACTTTCAAGAAGAAAACTGAAAACATGGCACCAGAACATGCATTAAGGGGCACATGCATCACAGCACTTTCAGGTTGTAGTTTCAGAAGCACATTTTACAAGACCAACTATAAAACTGTGACCAAAAAAATCCTCCCAAAACACAACTTCTGCTCAAATAAACACAACACACAGGTATAAAATAACTGGCTTATTAATTTGGCTTTCAGTTGTAAAAAATCTTGAATGTTTTTTTTTTTAATTAGAACAACTTTTAAAAGAAAGTGTCAACTAATGACACAAACATTTGAAGTTGGTCGAAATATTACTGCTTCTGTCACAAATACATTTCAAAATAAAGAGCAGTTTTTAAGCATTTCTTTTAATTCAGCACGCCATGCTGAATTTTATAACTTGGCTGAGTCCCACTTCAGATTAGTGGCTTCATTTCCTTGTAACCCTGTCTTTGATGAATGAGTTTAGCACTTAAAAATGCAGCATATAGTTTGGATTTGCTAGTGACTGTTAGACAAGGGGACACATTTATTTTGTAATTGGCACTGACAGTAATGTGTTGTAGGAAACACAGAATGGCTCAATAAATTCCTCCACCTTGTGAATGCAAGTGAATTTCAACGTATTTTAAGTTTTTATGCTACATTTTATGTTACTGACTTTGCATTAAAACAGCAATTATTTGCGTAGAAACAAATTATAAAATTTGCAAACAGACTAAATTTACTTCCCAAAAAAGGTAGCAGAAATCCGTTATTTCTTCAATAACCAATAAGTATTAACATTTCAAACTGGATCTGTAAATATTAACTACAAAAGAATTGTGTTTATTCAAGCATTTGCCACATAAAATTCATCTATTATTGATGGAAAACCCAGGAGAAAAAAATAAATAAAACTGTCTCCATAGTTTGTTAAATTTCCAACAGGATGCCAAGGAAGTGGAAGCTTTTAGGACACAGTGTTTCCTTTTGTCATGCAACCTGTTTACTACTTTCACTGAGCAGTCCCATACCTGGCTCTCAGGGGTCTCTGTCTGAACCTACAGATGCAGGCAGCAGAGGCAGGTTGCAGAAAAACAGCACAGTAAACACTAATGTAGTTCTGAAGATCAGTTCTTGGCCTTATTTTGTTTTCTAGCAAAATGATTAAATACTGTGTAATTTTTAAAGTTACATTAAAAAGAAAATTGGAAAGATTAGTTAAATAGATGTGTTGGGAGTGTGTTAAGACAAAATATGCTGACATCAACCTTATAGCCACATCTTTTGAAGTACTCTTCTTTCTCCTTGCGTGCAAGATCAGCCCTTTTGAAGCATTTTTTGGAGTCCTGGAAAGAAACAAAGCATTAACTTGTTTACACTTTGAAAGAAGCTCCATGTACAATGAGGATATTTTGTTAACGTGAATATATCTGTGGGAAAGTCAAGACTCAAACAGTAACACACTCACAAATCAGAGGTTCATTTTAGTCCTCTTACAGAGTAAGTTTACAAAAACTTATCAAATAAACCATTTAGATTTTTTTTTTCTTAAAAAGTTTTCTGATACAACAATGTTGGTTTTGAACAAGAAAGTTAGTAGATCAACATTTCGTCAGAAAATAATACTTAGAATTGTTAGTTTATGGAATATTGACAGAAAACAAACAGAATAAATATTTTAACATTGTTCATCTATGAAACACTTTTGGATTTTACTCAGTAAGAAGTTTACTCAGCAAAAGAGAAAGCAGACATACGATACGTAACAAACAAAACAAGCATAGCCAGTTAGTAAAATATTTTGTATAATCGTATAACGTTAACCAGATATGTTCATGTGGACAATGTTCACCACAATAACGATACAGTTGTAAATAAGGTTCTAAAAAAATAGATAATTCTTGGGAAAAACGTGTTGACTAGAGCTAACAGCTAGGCATCGACACAAGCTAGCTAACAATGCTAAGTTGTTAAGCCAAAATGACCAATAAATGACCAAAATAACAAAATTCCCACGTCAATTAGCTCTGTTTCTTCTAGAAGTTTCCTCTTTCTTGCTATCTCAGCTTTAAGTATATCCATTTCGAGACAATAACAGTATGTTGATCTTGCAGCGGATAGTACAAGAGCGCTGCCATTAACCGGAAGTTAATGTAAGAATTCTCTTTTGTTTACTTCCTTGTTTCAAAATAAAAGCTCAACACACGGCCCATTGCGCAACAAACTAATTCTGGCATAATAACCAATTAAAGGAAGGCTTCATGTGTTTTTGTTTTTAAACATGAAACACTAAGACGGAGTTGTCAAATATCTCAAATAAATAAAAAAAAACTGAAAGGAACACATTTTTTTTCCAAGGGAGGAGACAATTTACTTTAATTACTAAATATAGAACAGTCAATTGCTAAGATGCACCTTCTATAATGCAAACATACTTTTTGTTTTTATAACCTCTCCGTTTATTTTGTTTGTTTTTATTCTTTTGGCTAAGAGAAACACGATAACATTAATAAAATTATCTAGAATTTTTCCAATACACATATTTTTTTTCCTGCATATTTGCCAACAAACATTGAGAAAATATTTTCTGATCGTGGATTTAAAGTCAGCATAGTATTGCTAAAATTTTGAAATGCTTAAACATGAGTGTGGGGAAGCTGATAATAAAAACCTGGCCTCAGGCCAGTAAAAAAAGAGCATTCAAAGAGACTGTTTAATCTGACATCACAGTAAAATCACTTTAAGGTTACAAAAAACTAGGGGTGCACCGATAAATCGGCCGGCCGATCGATCGGCCCCGATTTCCTTAATTTGGGGAGATCGGCGATCGGCCGATCTTTAAATGAGAAGCCGATTTTATCCACCGATCTTATCTGCCTCCGGAAAGGTCTGAAAATCAGCTGCTGTCCCCTTTTGCTCCACTGTGAGAGCTCACACACAGGTCACTCGGAGCAGCCATGTCGTCGGTTTGGAAGTTCTACGCTGTAAAAGAAAATGAGCCAAAGATCGCAATTTGCAATTCGTGTAAAGCCGAAGTAAGTCGTGGTGGAGCCACCACCAAAACCTTTAATACAACAAACCTCGTTCGCCATTTAAGAAATCACCACGCCGCCAAGTATGCAATGTTTGAAGAGAGCAACCAAGCTAAGGCTAATGCTAAAGCTAGCGCTAACAAAGAGGCAGTCGGTGGGTCGCTGTTAGCTTTTATGAGCAACGAAAAGAGCAAAGCTACCACGAGGAAAGTGATGGAGTTCATGGCATTAGACAACCAGCCATTTTCAGTCGTTGAGGACAAAGGTTTTAGAAGCTTGATGCAGCACGTGTGCCCACGATATAATATGCCGAGTCGGAAATATTTTTCTGATGTTGCATTACCGGAGTTGTTCAGCCAAGTTTCGAGAGACACCCGCAGCCTGCTAAAAGCTAATACAAATACACTCAGCTTTACAACAGACATCTGGACTTCTGATGTAAGTTTAATGTCCATGTTAAGTTTTACTGCACAGTGGATTGACGAACAGTTCGAACGTCATCAATTACTCTTAAACTGTAAAGAAATGGCAGGGTCTCACACTGCGGCCAATTTATCAGCAGAGTTTAAGGCGATGCTGAATCACTGGGAAATCGATCATGGAAGAGTTCACGTTGTTTTACGGGATAATGCTCGTAATATGGCCAAAGCGCTGGATGATATCAACCTGAAAAGTTTACCCTGCCTGGCACACACACTGCAACTGGTTGTAAATGAGGGACAGCTGGCGCAGCGCAGCATCACAGACATGGTGGCAACAGGAAGGAGAATTGTTGGACATTTTAAGCATTCATCACTTGCCTATTCCCGACTTTATGACATACAGACACAGTTAGGTCAACCCAGGAAACGATTACAGCAAGACGTTTCAACGAGGTGGAACAGCACAGTCTACATGCTGCAGTCGCTGTTGGAGCAGAGACGTGCTATTGGCGTGTATGCTGCTGAGCACGAGTTACCAGCCACACTCACAGCACACCAGTGGGAGCTACTGGACAATGTGCTCACCATTCTTGCACCTTTTGAGGAACTCACAAAGGAGATTAGCTCATCAACAGCTACAGCAGCAGATGTCATCCCAGCCATCACTGCACTCAAGCGGATTTTGGAGAGGCAAGCGAGCACAGACCGTGGCGTGGGTACAGCCAAAGCTACGCTGCTGGAGGCTGTTGTGAGAAGATTCAGCAACATTGAGCATGAGCCCCTGTACAGCTTGGCCACTGTTCTGGATCCAAGGCAAGTAACTATTAACATTCTATTTTAGCCATAATGACTTTTAGCCTACTGCTATATTTCAACAAACATTTAAATTAAATTAAAAATAAAAATTTATTGATTGAAATGCATTTCTTTATTTACATGCAAGTCATAAAAACTGTTAATGTATACAAAACACAATGATTGACCCATCTTTCTTTGTTTATGCAAAACAAGGTACAAGAATCGCTACTTCTCAGCAGAGGTGAAAGATGACGTGAAACTGCTCCTTTTGACCAAACTTGCAGAGGGGGAGACCAGATGCACACCTGCTGCAGGAACATCCTCTGAAGTGGGACCTCCTGCTATAGATGAACCTGCAGCCAAAAGGCGTAGTCTACTGTTTGCAGCTCACGACGAAATCTTAAAGGAGAACATTGAACAGGAGCAACAGCTGGCCAGCCCTTCAGCTATGCAGGTACAGAACTACCTATCTGAGGTTCCTGTTGAAAGGAGCCAGGACCCATTGGTCTACTGGAAGATCAATGAAAATCGTTTCCCTCATCTTGCTCTACTTGCCCGAACCTATCTCTCTGCCCCATGCACAAGCGTTGAAAGCGAGCGCCTGTTTAGCTTGGCTGGACATGTAGTAGATGAGAAAAGAAGTCGCCTGTCTGGTGACAAAGCAGAAATGCTTTTGTTCATCAAGAAAAACCTGCCACTAATGAAAGTGACTGGAATAAGTCTGTGAGAACTAACTTACCAGTGTTAGTTCTTATTACCCACTGACTTGAAAATGTTACACTTGTTGCATTATCTTTTTTTTTTTTTAAATGTAACAAGTGAAAGAGTTGAAGGAACTGAACATTTTTTTTTAGTTAATTTTATAGTTTTAACAAAAATTGTGTAAACTTCATTTATATTTCAGAATACTACCTCATGACAAGTTAAAACAACAAGTTTGTATTGTTTCTAGGGTATTTTTCAAGGGTATGTTTTACAATAAAATAAGATTGGTAAATTGAAGGTGCATTGTGATCTTGTAACACCTGACACTGTTGCTTATAAAAAAAAATCGGTATCGGCCAAAATCGGAATCGGCAGTTCAGACTTTCAAAAAATCGGTGATCGGTGATCGGCCTGAAAATTGAAATCGGTGCACCCCTACAAAAAACATATAAAAAATTGTTTGCAAATACTTTAATGACAAATACTAGTGAAACTACCATACAAACACTAATACAGCTTTGACTGTCAAGTGCTTGCTTTAAATGAGCAGCATTTTTTATTATTATTTTATTTTATGGAAGTTAGTTTAAGATGCTTTTACAAAGTTCATTCTACCTCAACTTGACTGGTTTTGTCTAAGAGCCAGTTTGTTGTCCTGACATCACTGGAAATTGTCTTTTTCTCGACCTTTTAAATGAAACATACCATCAGGTGGCGCAAAGGGAGATGTGACGAATTCTTAATATTAAAGTCATTAATGTATTTACGAGGAAAGGGACTGGCGTCATGCTGGGAACGGAGATAAAAAGCATTTTCAAAGGTGAATTTTAGATTAAAACGACAGGAATCTACCAATGACCGAATCCTTGCCTGAGTAAACAAACAAATAAATAAATAAATGTTTAATAATGAGGCAGACGGACAGTGATTGCGCTGAGTGAATTCTTGATCTCGTCCTCTCCGTGGAGCGATTTTCACCGCACGACTTTCCGAATAATCCAGCTGAAGATGGAGTTCGGGGAGAGGAAGAGGAGAAGGAAATCCCGGAGCTTTAAACTGGTCACGGATGAAGAAGGTAGGCTGCTGGAGGAAGACGCGCTCATCTGTCTGTCTGGGTGTTTGTCTGGCGCCTGGTGCCAGAGCAGACGACTCTGGAGACAAAAGCCACGACAATGAATGTCCAGTCTGTGCGTCGAGCTACACAAACAGCTGATTCTCAAAATTACACCCTTTATATAAAAAAGAAAAGGATAGAAAAACACACCTCCCTATGGCATACCACCAGTCTCAGTGTGGTTTATTCTAATGAAAAGGGTAAATACTATTTCTAGGCAGTCCAAAATGTTGCGCAGTCTAGTCATGTACGCATCTTAAACTGCTAACTTTTTTTTTCTTTGCAAGCTGCAAAACATCTCTCTCTAAAACTACTTCATACCTACAGGTGGTGGTTTCTGCATGGGGTGGGGTGGGTGGGGGGAGGTGTTCTGCTTTGGTTGACATCACAGGCGTTTGGGTTTTTTTTAAGGCCAGCATCAAGTTTTACTACATTTCATTTTTCCGTCTTGCAGATTCTAACAAAATAATTTCACGTGCAGATTATGACCCATCAAATGTGACAAAGGCCAGTTATGCCAATGGGGAATCCAATAATGCTGCTGTTACTGATGGTATGGATCGCTCTGAGGAATCATTTCTACATTACATCACTGTGGATCTCACAAACGTATATGTTTTTTTTTTTCTTAATCCAGTTTGTCTGCAGGGGGATGAGAGCATGGAGATCAAAAGGCAAATCACAGGAATGATGAGACTTCTGAGTGATAGGTCTGGCAGGGTTTATCAGCGTGTCGGATCGGAGCAGAACACCTCAACAAAGGAGTCCAAGGATAATTTGACTTGTACTCCGGTTCCATCTCCTGTGTCAGAGGATCCTCGGTGCAATAACTGGAGCTCTGCGGGGGACCCAGATCTGTCATCTTCATCCACATCCACCCCTATTGATCCATTCTTTGGCCAGTATGGCACCCGCTCCAGAGCCCTCAGGATCCACAAAAGCAAAAAAGAACCAAACGGTAGGGTGACAGAGTTCAACAAGGAGAAGACTACTCAAGATATTTTCAGTCGCAAATTATTTTGTGGTAAAAGCCAAACAGAGGCAGACAGTTCAAGACAAACTGTCATTCATACTTCAGATTTTGTAGTCACTGAGCATGAAAGCACATTGTGCCCACATACGCACGTGAAGCGTGACTAATCAGATCGCCCTTACTCTGCTGCAGATACGCTCCCACCTGCAGTGCAAGAACCTCCTTGTTGCATGTGTAACTGTAAGGGCACCTTGCAGGCCATACTGCAGGAACTACAAGCCATGAGGCGGCTGATGCAGACTCAAAAAGGTCAGAAAGTATGCACGTTATGGAAAAGTGACACTGTGAGGTAAAAGAAAAATCTAACATGTTTTTGGGCTTTCTTAGCATCCTTTGACAGGCATGAGCAAGGATCACCATGCCATTCTCACCGTGGCCCAGCTTCTGCTCCTCAGCATATGCCGCCAAAAAGGAGACCAGTCTATAAGGTGGCTCCACTTAGTGTATCCACCACAAGGAGAGTCATTACTCCTCTGGGTGCATCAGCACCTAAAGATGGTCCTATAGAATTTGGAAGGAGGGAGGATAGAGAAAAACTAGAAGTCAACATGCATTCAGTTCCCTGCAAGGTTTCTGTGCTGCCACATCAGGTCAGCAACACACACGATCCTCCCCTGAACCAACCACGGGAGCATCACGGGTCAGAGGTACGTATGTAGATTAGTGGTCATGTCATTTTTATTTTGTTACTAATCCTTATTAAACTACGGTATATTGAACTTATTCCCAAAGAAACTGTCTTTATACACATCATCTTTGCTTTTCCCATGAAATATCAACTGTAAATACAAACTTATACAAGTACTGTGGCATTTAGCAGGTTAAAATACACACATTGATTTCATCCAACTAAATAAAGCACTAACATTCATTGCACATCACCTATACCACCTTTCATGCCACAGTTCAAGACTAAAATCAGATGTTGAGAAATGACAGAACACCTCTCAAATAAACTCATACAATATCGTGAGATGCTACACTCAGAGTATGTGAGGTGAATGACTCTCAGCTACTACCACATCAAAGTTTGGCTCATTAAATAAATGACATAAATGTTGTTTGACTCGTTCACAGTCTGAGGTTCGTCTTGCAGAAGATTATGATGTGTTCATCTCAAAGGCCCAGCTAGATTCCATTCTGGTTAACTATACACGCTCTGGCAGCCTGCTGTTTCGCAAACTGGTATGCTTCCTTTTTTTTTTTTTTTTTTAAGAGCCATGAGATTTTTCTTTTTGATGCCATGTGATCATCCATCCATCCATCCATCCATTATCTTTACCCGCTTATTCCATTTTGGGTCACGGGGGTCGCTGGTGCCCATGTCCAGCAATCACTGTGCGAGGGGCGGGGTACACCCTGGACCGGTCGCAAGTCCATCACAGGGACACATAGAGACAAACGAGACAAACAACCATTCACTCTCTCACTCACACCTAGGGACAATTTAGAGTTACCAATCAGCCTAGCATGCATGTTTTTGGTCTGTGGGAGGAAACTGGAGTACCCAGAGAAAACCCATGCATGTTCGGAGAGAACATGCAAACTCCACCTAGAAAGGCCCCTGGACCGGGGTTTGAACCAAGGACCTGCTCGCTGAGAGGCAGCAGCTCTACCAGTTGCGCCACTGTGCTGCCCGCCATGTGATCATATGTTTTGATTTTTCAGTTAGAGATTACATTCTTCATTTTAGTTAGCACGATGGCTCAGTGGTTAGCACGGTTGCCTCACAGCAAGAAGGGCCTGGGTTCAATCCCTGGTTGGACCTAGGGTCTTTATGTGTGGAGTTTGCATGTTCTTCTCGTGCTTGATGTGGATTTCTCCAGGTACTCCGGTTTCCTCCCACAGACCAAAAACATGCATGCTAGGTCAGGCCTCCCTTAAAAAAGAGATCTGTGATCTCAGTGAGATTTGCCTGGTTAAATAAAGGTTAATAAATAATACACAAGTTATTATACTGTTATAGTATACTACTAGTTTAAAAAGTGCCATAATGTAAATATAGCATGATGATTTGCTAATTGCCGTGTTTTGAATTTTCAGGTGTGTGCCTTTTTTGATGACGCCACTCTGGCTAACTCACTGCCAAATGGTAAAAGGAAAAGAGGGCTCAATGACAACCGGGAGGGCTTAGACCAGGATATTGTTGGTGCCATTAAAGGTGAGAAGAAAAGGGCATAAATGTGCCTTTTGTTGATGCGGTGTTACTAAGTAAGCTGTTCATTTATTTGTGTAACCAGTGTTTACAGAGAAATACTGCACTGAACACAGAATAGAGAAGCTGCCTGGACCTAGAGACTGGGTGCAGATTCTTCAAGATCAGATCAAACTTGCCAGGAGGAGACTGAAACGAGGTCTGCTTAATTAATAACTTTTTCTTAAAATGTAATTTTACTGCAGATTTTTACTGTACTTTTTGTTTTTACTTCAATAAGTGCCATGCTGGAATGGTTACAGTTAGTGTTGTCATAATTTTTTTATTGCTTTTGATATGTTATATTGACAAATATCTTTGTTAAAGTATTTTTACTATTCAAGCAAAAGCATGTCTTATTCTTTTGGGCCCGTCAGATGCTGCAGAAGCTGAGGGAAACTCAAATGGACCATCCACAAGTATGAACCTCACATAAAACTGTTCCCATGCCTGCATGGCCATCATCCTCACAGCAGGTGGATCTGTTTGCGTTTCCCATTCTTCCCACTTTAGTTTTGTCGTCTAACATCTTTTTTTTTTCATCAACTCCCCCTCTGAGCACACGATGAGCTTTACCTCTCCTCACTCCATTGTCACAACACACCCACAAATTGGTGTCTCGAGCTCTCTCATTGGTGCACAAGTCTTTGTCATGCTGTTGCGGTGACAGCTGACATTTCCACGCAGCTCCCCAAAATGTCAACTAATTATCTTTCCAGTGAGGATCATTTCCACTTTTTCACCTCTCTGTTGTAGCTGTCAGAATCAAATTTCTCAACTTTCTGCACTTAATCACATAAATTCAATCATTTTTGGTAATATATTACACGTCATAAATATTACTTTTCCTCTGCAGGCTGTGATTATCATAAGTACAGTAAACAGACTACTTATACAGTGTGTCTTTTATTTACATACAATGCACAATGAAGCCCTGTTTGTGGGTTTTGGGGCTTTTGGATTGACCTAAACAAACCATAAACTTGAAGTTTACACCTGGAGACATTGAGTGAGTTAAAGAAGTGAATTATTGTTTACATTTTTGGCAAACACTTTAAATTTTGTCTATCAGTCTTAAGTGCTGTTTGAATAAAAGCATTCATTTAGTGTTCAAAGGCTACATCTTTACATTTCCATTGTGAATAGTGCCTTTTAAGTGACTTTAGCAGGTGTAGTTGAAAGTGCAGCATCCACCTTATTTTCAAACATTACATTCAAAGTAATGTATTTTTGGTATTTTTATATATTTAAATATAGATCAATGAGCCACGTCTTAATAAAAGCATTAAACATATGGTTATTTGTACATGTTTTTTTTCTCAATGTGGATTTTTTTTAAAGTTGCACATACTTAGCATTATTGTATTCAATTTTGTGACTAAATGATGTATTTTTTATACTGTTAAATGTGCATAAGGAAATTTTAACTGTATTGACAAATAAACACAGTGGATTAATGATTTTGTCTTGTCTTTATTGCATCTGTGACAGAATGGTCAACAAAATGAACAAATATAATATACTGTACTCTGTTGAATGTCTCCTTTCTGAATCTCCCATGAGGTATGAAGATGATCTCATGCTGCTGGATTCATTCATACCCATCAACTCACCATAGACTCATGTTCGGGCTGCTGTTTAATATACCGTATTATTTTACATTATTAGTGTTTAGCGTATATTTTCAAGTTTTAGCGTATCCTTTAACGTTTATTTAGCACACATCTTAATGTATATCTCAAATCCTTATACTGTTTCTTTTTATACTTTATATTTTTGCTATTTTTGGGTGTAACTGGGACCTTGAGTGCACAATTTTGTTCCACCTCATGTACCACATGTGATGCGAATGACAATAAACAAACTTGAACCTTGAAGGGGGGTGGGTGTGGCTGGAGAGATCAAACACAACCACAGTAACAACATATTTTCCTGTTAGTTATTACAAAGAAGCATGAACCTTAGCTTTTGCAATTGATTAAAAAAACTATTGAATAACAAGGATACGATAAAATTGAGATAATGGATGTATGAATGGCACAGAGGTTAGAGAAGGCGGGCCTGTGATTGGGAGATTGCCGGTTCAATTCCCGGTACTGACAACACCAAAATGTGGGTGGGAAAGGTGAAGCACCCACACCTGCCTCCACCCTCATTTGCCCTACACTGGGCCTCTAAGCAAGGCCCTCAACCCCCACCATCCGCTCCCCCAGACCCCCCAGATAGCAGTTCCTGCTCCACACAGAGGGCTGTGGTAGATTGATGGTCTGTGGTTGTGTCAGGAAGGGCATCCAGTGAAACAATTGCCAAGGCTTCGTGCGACTTAGCTCGCTGTGGCGACCCCTGAAGAAGGGAGCAGCCGAAAGAAGAAAAAAGATACAATAAAATATATCAAAAGGGAAAATAGTCTACTGCAATAAAACAATGTATACATCAAACAAAGTTATGAAAAATTACAAGAAAGAAGGGAAAGTATGAACAATTAAATAAATTTGAAACCCACTTTTTGCTATATCTATTTTTCCCATACAGTATTTATAAACCTACCAAACAATACATATTGCTTGGTTATCTTCAGCAGATAAGAATTTTTAGGAGACATTTGTTAATGGAAATCATCTTGAACACATTTTTGAGTCTCAGAGAATTCAGACAATTAAAATTTTACAATTTCCTTTGCACATCATTAGAAAAAAAAAGATATTAAGTGGAGAGTTTGTTGAAATAACATGGGCTAGGTATTTTTGAATAAATGCTTTTTTAACTGGATTGTTGTTTGGTCATATTTTGGATAATTTAATGTGAGGTAAAAGGAGGGAAAACACCAAATTAAAGGTACACTCCATTGTACGAATACTGTTGGCAGACTTTTGAAGTTGTTAAAGGGGATGTTAAAGCAGTCACCGTGCAAGTAGAGGACCCACAGACATCTGGCTACTTTCGTCGCTGAATTATAAACAAGTTTTTATTGAATTGAGCTAAAAAAGGAACATAAAATATAATAGGATTAAAAAAAATTGGTGTTGTGTGATATTTTATTTTTAGGTTGATTTTTTTAAAAGTCAAATAGAATAATCCGTCAGTTTTAGTCAGGCTTTCTCTTAGGGCGCCTATTTCCAGCCTGAGCGCCTTCTGTTGCCTTCCCCGCTCTTCTGTCGGGATCCACCGCTAACGTGAAGCTGGTAAGGATACGCTGCTCAGAAGAATTAAAGGGGAAATGTTGCACGAATATAACCCCGCTTTAACCTTAAAGTTGCATCTAGGGCAGTTATAAACACTTATATTGCGTGATATCACTACAAAGTTCACACAAGTAGCACGTTTAGCGTTTTTCTATTGATACTAACTCTGATGTTGCACTCATCGCATGGCTAGGGGAGAGGAAGGGGTTAATTTTTTCCACCGCCGACATTTTTGTTCGGCGCTTTACGAGAACTTTTTAACCTACATGTGCAAGGAGCTGGTTACGTGGGTCTTTACATGGCATCGCATTTATTAGCAGTGTGCCTTGTGCTTGTTTTTAGTTGCGTTTCTAGGACGCTAACAGCTCCGCGTTGCACAGAACTGCTTATGCTCATCAGCGCATGCATGGATCGGCGTTTGCTAGCTACACAGCTATCCCTTAAACAAAAAAAATCCTGCATTTCCAGCAAAACAAAAAAGACTTGGAAGGTGTAATTTACACTGGCCACATACTTTAAAGTTCATCCTCCCTAGAAGTATAAACTGCATCTTACATTTAATAAAGTGAAGTTCCTACATTGAACAATCACTACTGTTAGCCAGTGCCTGAAGGGTTGAATGAACGTGAGATCATGTTGGTTCTTGAACGCCTCTCCACTGGACCAAAAATGGCCCCTTATGCAACTTGCTCTGGTTTACACAACAAACTGGAATTATAACCAGTGATGCGTTTAAATTCGCTGTTAGTTTGCACATTTATGGTGTGTTAACTGCAAATTCACTTGTTATTTTTGGGCTATCCTTTTTATTTGGCAGTAAAATAAATTATATACCCACGTTGATGTGAAGTAGTTTGACTTTGCTACTAACTCTAAAATAATAAGTACATATAAAGGAGAAGTTAAGCTATTTATATAAGCAGTAAACTGTACCAAGAGAATCATAGGACACAAATGATTAAAAATATGATAGAAATATAAACCAGTTTGTCTGTTTTTCTTGTGGAAATGACTTTAAGCAACATCATAAAGGTGCAGTTGCTGGTTTTTGTTTAGAGGTATTTATCCATAACAAGCAGGACGTAGTGATTTTTCATCTATGGTTGTCAGTGTATTGTGACACTTTCTCTGATATATGGACTGATTTTTAAGCAGGTGTATGTAGTTTTACCTTTAGACAGGCAAAATTACATGTGGCAATTGCTGTTTTGACGATGATACACACAGAAGACAATCCAAAAAAGTTCAATCTGGTCCTGGATTTTTCTACCTGGATTATTGAGCATGCATCAGGACACAGAAGACAATGTACAAATTATTGCAATGTGATGAATTGGCTGATATTACATCTGCTTTTCTGTTTTCTTTTTGTTGTAATGTTGCTAATCACCAATTTGTTTTTGTTTTGTTTTGCTTTCCTGGTGATCAATGCCATTTCAGTGGCAAGGACCCAGAATGACTTCAGAAATGTCTGTGAGGGAGTCTTTTAACCCTGAAAGCTATGAGCTGGATAAGAACTTCAGGCTCACACGCTATGCTGAGCTCAAGGGCACAGGCTGCAAGGTTGGTTCTCCATTAAACAAGAAAGACAAACATTAAATGCAATATTGTACAGAACACAATAGATTTTTAACTGCGATTAAAAATATAATTTTCCCCTTGATCACAGGTTCCTCAAGATGTTTTACAGAAACTGCTAGAATCCTTACAGGAGAACCACTATCAAGAGGATGAACATTTTCTAGGGGCAGTAATGCCTCGACTAGGTACTTACTCATCATACTACACCTGATTACCTTGACAAATGCTTTTACGTGTTTTTTTTAACGGTTTAAGTGACAACAGGAACTCTTCCATCTACAACAGAAAACATCAAATTGCCTACATATCGTATTTTCTGCTGTACATGTCGCAGCGCCCTATAAGTTGCATCAGTCCAAATATGTCTAATAAAGTGAAAAAATCCATAAATACGTTGCTTCACTGTATATGCTGCATCTATTATGTGTCACCACTGACGCATCGCGTTTGTTACATGTCATCATTGACAACCCGGAAATGTGGGCTGGTGTTGTGCCTAAAATCGATTGGCTGCCCAATGGCGGCCGTGGGAGCGTGCACGGGAGGACTTTAACAAGAATTTAACAAGATTAACACTTAAAACAATTATTTGTTTGCTCAAAATTATAGCAAAGTTGTGTCTCAGTCTAACTTTTCCTTAATAAATGCTCTTTGATGGTCAAATCAGCTGCATTTTAAAAGCTGATACGCGGAAGTAGGTGTGTGCACAGGAAGACTTGCTGTGGATTTCTTCGAAATTTAACAAGATAACCATCTAAAAACAATTATTTTCTCAAAATTATAGTAAAGGTGTGTCTTAGTTGAACTTTTCCTTAATAAATGTACTTGATGGTCAAATCAGCAGCATTTTCAAAAATATATGTTGCCTCGGTGCTCCGGGAGCGTGCTCTGATGGAGAAAATCAGGAAGGAGGAACGCTGTGCATTGTTTCAAAATTTAATAAGATAACCACCTAAAAACAATTATTTGTTTGCTCAACATTATAGTAAAGGTGTGTCTCAGTTGAACTTTTACTTAATAAATGCACTTCAACGGTCACCTTAGCTGCAGTTCACCGAGGCGGTGCAGCGAAATGAAGCTGATTTGACGGTTGCTCCAGGTGAGCTGGATGACAGTGGCTTCTGTGGCAAGCCGATGGTGCCATTAATAGCCACTTTTACTTATTACATGATACAACAGCATGCCATAAAAGTCGAGTTCCATCTAGCAGTTGAAAATGGTAGTGTTCAATATTTTCAGTCAGAATGAATGAAAACCGTCACATCTCAGCCAAAAATATGTTTATAAATATGAGAAAAAATCCATAAATATGGTGCTTCGGCATATAAGTCACAGGGCATGCAAATTATGCAAAAAACGCGACTTATAGGCCGAAAATACGGTAATACTTTATTGTTGGATCTGATATGAACAAGTTTTTAAGGTGTTAAAATTTTAAAACAATTATATCTTTTTTTTAAAGACATTTTCCTTTGACATTTAAAAACGTTTCCCTAAGTGTTTTTGTTTGTTCATTCTGTAGGCATAGGCATGGACACATGTGTCATCCCTCTCAGACATGGCGGGCTTTCACTTGTCCAGACAACAGATTACATTTATCCTATTGTGGATGACCCTTACATGATGGTATGGCTCTTTAACTCATTTTTTTCTCTCTGCCTCCTTAGTACTTCATGAAATGTCAAACTTAGTTAAAAATGTTATTGTTGTTTCATGTGCATGCTGGGTATTGCTTTAAGCCTATACACAAAGAACATATGTGCCTATTTTTTCTCATTTCATTCTTTGTAGGGAAGAATTGCTTGTGCCAATGTTCTAAGTGACCTGTACGCCATGGGAGTGACAGAGTGTGACAACATGTTGATGCTTCTGGGAGTCAGCAACAAATTGTCAGAGAAAGTAAGATAATCTTACTTTGATATTCAACCTTTATTTAGACAAGTTAGTCCCATTGAGTCTCGAGGACTCATTTACAAGAGAGACCTGATTTCATCAAAGAGTCATGAAAACAATGGACAACAACAACAATAGACAGTCATAAAATAGGCATGCACATTTAAGTTTCTCTTCTTCTTTTTTTTCTTTTTTTTTACAAATCAAAACAAAATGGCAACTAAAAGGACAGTCAAGAGGAATAGCAGCAAAAAACAGTTAGATCACAAGGCGATTTAGAAGTTTATAAAACTAAAAACAGGAACATGTTTTTAAATTTAACAATTAGAATAAAATAAAATGGTGGTAAAAATGTATTATTGCTTTTATATATACTTTTCCATTGATGTTAGAAGGCATATTGAGCTTTTTTTAATTTTATTGTGAATACTATAAACATCTTTAAAAATGTAAATGGAATGAAAATCTGTCTACTGAAAAAGAGTAAAATATCTTGCTGCCAGCTGAAGGATTACTCACTCTAATACCTTTCCAGTAGGAGTTTCTAAGTTGTTTAGACTCATGTTGGAAAGGTGGGGGTATTTTTTTTTACCCAGCATCGTGCATAAAATTCAAACAACTGAAAAAAATCATTGTGAAACTTAAAATGGTCAGATCAAGCTTTTCTTATGTCTGCAATGATCCATTTACTGTATTTCTGTAAATCTTGCTGAAGTCCAGCAGGGTGTGTGTGGGCCTTTTTGTACACACGGATTAACATTCTCCGTCGCTGCAACAAATTTCTGTCATTTTGAACGTGGCCAGGACGGATTTCTGTCGTCTGTAAAAATGAGGAGGGGGAAGAAAGTGTGTTTTGTTGTGGTCTTGTTAAAGCCATCCAATCTAATAATGATACTGATGCTGCTTTCATCCAGTAAAGAGAACCAGAGCCACAGTTTGACCCAATCAGAGCAGGGCGGGTCATGTTGTCTGGTACACGGTGAGCCTGGGTGTGAGCAACAGAGAAACTGCAGGTGATGGCTCACCTGCAGCAAGCCAAAGAGGACACCCTGCTAAACTAACAGAACACACACACATGCACCATGAAGGTGACAACATTTAGTAATTCATTAAACGTCTACGTATTCAACATATGTGTTTGCACGTGACCAAGTCACTGCTGCTAGGGGAGATACCAGAACTGATACACCATCACCCCCACCCGCTCCTCCCGCACCGTGCCCCGACCTTCCGTGACTTTGGTATTTAAAATCTAATGTATTAAATGTCTGTGTTGGGCGTGTCGTCGTCATCATCATATACACAAGTGCAACCTGCGCGCGTGACCGAACTCCAGGTCCGAGAGAGAGCGCAGCTCGTTGAATTTCTCTCACGGTGAGAGAGTCTGTTTCTGTGGCTTTTGTTTTCCTAAATAAATATTAATGCTTAAAGATTAATATTTATCTGTCCCAGATGATAGCAGAGATGTGTTTCTCGGTTTAACTTTAATTTTTTACCTTAAACTCACAAAGTTCTCTCAGAGAGCGAGAGAGTCAATTTCAAGTGTTTGTAGTTTATCATAAATATCTGCAAAATTCATTTCTACAGACTTTTTGCAACAACAAAGTGTTATGGCTGTTTGGACGAGCTAAACTTGATTATATTTAAAATTATACGGAGAGGTAACTGTTCTGTGATAAATGTAAGTTAATAAATGATCAAATATGAAAATAAATAGTAGTAAATTACTACATGAGTTGAAATCCGGCAGCACATTGGCTCAGCTAGTAGGGCTGCTACCTCGCAGCGAGAAGGTCACCGGTTCAAATCCTGGTCCGGGACCTTTCTGTTCTCTCCGTGCATGCGTGGGTTTTCTCCAGGTACTCTCAGTTTCCTCCCACAGACCAAAAACATGCATGTTAGACTGATTGGCAACTCTGAATTGTTCCTAGGTGTTAGTGAGAGAGTGAATGTTTATCTCGTTTGTCTCCGTGTGTCCCTGTGATGGACTGGAGACCTGTCCAGGGTGTCCCTGTGATAGACTGGAGACCTGTCCAGGGTGTCCCTGTGATAGACTGGAGACCTGTCCAGGGTGTACACCGCCTCTCACACAGTGATTGCTGGACATGGGCACCATTGAACCCCGTGATTCAAAAAGGAAGAAGCGGGTGAATGTAATGGATGGATGGACTTACGGGAGAAATCTATCAGTCTCGCAAAAATAAAGTTAATTTAAACTCTGCAAAGGCCTTCCAGTGCTATCATTTTTTTAAATATATATCTGAAAACTCCTACAGAAAAGTTGTTCTAGTCCTGTCTTTCTTCTTTCAGAATGCTGCTGGTCTTGATGGTGCAGGTTAAAGTCTTCCTACAACTTCCAGTGCTTCATTAGAAAAAAACTATATTGTGTACTTTTAATAAGGTCGTGTACACAGTATACTCCTCTTTACATGAAAACCTGTATGCAGGAAAAAGCTTTCAAATGTGTCATATTGTGTGTGTCTGTGTGTTTGTTTGGGTGTGTGTGTGTGTGTGTGTGTAACATTTAGGTGTATCCAAATCAGTCAAAATATTTTTTTTCTGCTTTAATCCATGTGTAACATCATGCAATCAGTAAAAATGTGTGTCCAGACTGTACACACTGCAGCACCCTGTGCACAAACAAACAAAACCATGGCTGTATTTGCTGAGTATTTTCTACTGTTAGTGTGTGTGGTTTGTTTTAAAGGAAAAATATATATATATAAAAAACTGACATAGTCACACACTGTACAACTGAGTACTGTTGTATGTGTGTGTACAAGGTAGTTAGTTGTGTTTGTGGTAAATATTGAACTGTAATCATTGGGATGCAAGTGCATCAGCCATGCTTGGTGACCCCACCGACTTTGGCTTCAACAGCCGAGCTCGATGGGGAACATCAAAATGTGAACAGCTACAGTTTAAAGAGGACATGTTCTCATCTGTTACCAATCTGTTTTTTAAGACGCTGTCATTAAGTGTGCTTGTGCTGAACATTTCTTCTGAAGGCTGCAGATACTGAATCAGAATCAGAATAAACTTTATTATCATTGCACCGAGATACAACAAGAACATGTACGCACAGTCGTCCGAAAGATGGGCGGAGTGCACGAAGCTGCTACTATGAAAGCGCGACCCTTTTATTCTTATTCAGAATAATATTTTGCTTAGATGAGAAAAGGGAAGAAAACATGAGGAGAGACGGTACAAAAAAAAAAAAAGATCTCTCACGCCGTGTCCTAGACAGGGCACGATTTGAGGCATAAAAAAAAACCTACCACAGCAAAGCAACATAAGTAATAGATGTTATACATGTACATATAGGCCGGTGAAGACATTGAATTTTAAGTAAAAGTCGAAGCATAGTCCAGAGCCCCCCCTCTCAGCCATTGTCCAGATAAGAGGTTATTCATCATCAGCTCGGTTGAGGTTCTGTCACATGTCCACGGCCTTGGGGAAGGGAGTGATGAGAAACAGTCAAAGCATCTTTGTTATTTTCAAAACATGCCAGGAGGAGTTGAGATAAGTCCGGCGTCAAGGCCACAGTTTGGGTCAGGCAGAACTCGTGAATTGCTGTTTTCTGCCTTTTAAAGTCTCGCTGGTACATTCCTCTGTACAGGAATTGTAAACTTGCTTTCTTCTAGATTTTAATTTGCAACAGTTTCTTTGACCTCTGTCTTCCAACGATTCATGCTGGTAAAAGTTAAATTGTTTGCTAAACATTTTGTGCACTTAAAGAGAGGACATTTCACACGTTTGGCTAACTGCGTCTTAGCAAATCTTGCTGCCCAGGGTGTCAGTGATGTAGCTGAAGGATTTTTTCACACTTACACAGAGCTCTTTAGGAGAGCAGCACAGCAAAACTAAGAAGTTGAGGTCGACAGCATAGAAAAAAAACATGATTATAAACATATATTTATCTTAAGCAATTAGCCTAAATCTGTCCTTCTTAATATAAATATGTTTGTTTGTGCTTTTAACCTTTTCTTTTTGGTTACAGGAAAGAGACAAAGTCATGCCACTGATCATTCAGGGATTCAAAGATGCTTCAGAGGAGGCAGGCACATCTGTCACAGGAGGACAAACGGTGCTCAACCCCTGGATAGTGATGGGAGGAGTGGCTACAACAGTCTGTCAGCCCAATGAGTTCATCATGTGAGTTCCTGTCCAACATGTTTTGTTTTGTTTTTGCTCTCTGCATACCTCTTGGCACTTTACAAAAATAATAATCATAATGCCACGTTTCATATTTCTCAGGCCAGACAACGCAGTCCCAGGAGATGTGTTGGTGTTGACTAAACCACTGGGAACTCAAGTGGCTGTTGCAGTGCATCAGTGGCTAGACATTGTAAGCACAGTACGCCTGTTCATTCTTATGTGAAACTGTTTTTTCCCCAGGATACTCACTGCTGATTATGGATGCATCTGCTTTTTTCTCAGCCTGAGAAGTGGAACAAGATCAAGCTGGTGGTAACCCAAGAAGATGTCGAGCTCGCCTACCATGAAGCCATGATGAACATGGCACGACTCAATCGCACAGGTAAATCTATTGTTGGCATGTCCTAAATTTAAATTGCTGGTGTGTGTATTGTGTTGTCATAGCTGAGATGTTATTTTGAGAAGAACTGAGTCAGCGTTTGGGATCTGTTGAATTTTGAAACCACAGCACCCTCTGCTGGAGCTCATTGTAACAAAATAAGGCTAATTCTATAACAAATCTACAGAAAACAAGACCAGGATGAATTTAATATAAGAGGTTCAACATTATTGCACAGAAAACAAGTTGCATAATTAATCTATGCAACAAATGTTTCAAAAAGGCTACAAATGCAAACGCTAACTTCATGTTTTTTTTTTTTTTAGTTATTGCTTATTATTTCACAAAGAGTAACATGAGTTATCCAGAGGCACGTCTCAGTTTTCTTTTTGCCCTCTGTCGCAGCTGCCAGTCTCATGCACACCTTCAACGCCCACGCAGCCACTGATATCACAGGGTTTGGCATCCTCGGCCATGGTCAGACACTGGCACGACAACAGCGAAGCGAGGTGTCATTTGTCATCCACAACCTGCCAGTGCTCGCCAAGATGGCTGCAGTGTCCAAAGCCTGTGGGAACATGTTTGGGCTCATGCATGGCACCTGCCCAGAAACATCAGGTTATTATTTACATGATTCTGTTCCTTTCTCTTTGCACTAGTTGTAAAATTTCATCTCAAACACAGCTTTCAGTTGATGTCACCTTTATTGTAGAAATGTCATAAAGTGTTTTGAAATTCAAGCAGGGAAGTTAGAAATGTTAATTTGCTGCTAACAGAAACAAAGATTTAATCAAGAGTCACTAAAGGTGCTTGTTTAAGTACCAGATAGAGTAGTTCTTAGTATTTCTATGTGTTAATCCACACAGTGACCACACGAGCCTGCTTGGTGCACGTTTTCAAGCTGTTAAGTTTTTGTCAGAGATGACTTGTTAAGGCAGTTCTTCACAGTAACTTTATTGTACATGATTGATTAATCTAGCACAAATTTGATAGAACCTCAAATTTAGTCCTGTATTTTTTTTATAAAGCCAGTAAAGACATGTTGCAATTTATTTTACAATATTTATTGCTACATAAAAAAAAGAAGTTTGAGGTGATGTACAAAATGCAGAGATCATGCTGTACCAGCCAACGTTTTTGACACATCTGCTTATTCATTTAGATTAAATTGACGTAGTAACTTTATTTAGTGGGTAACAAGTTTTTTTACCTCAGTTCTTCTAATTAAGGAGTGCATGTGTAAACTCCAAATATTTGTCTGAGCACTAATTAAGAATTTCTGAAAAACATCCATATTAGGGACAGAATGAAAACTAGACAGTGGTCTAATCTAATTTCACTAATTAGTACATCAGCAATATTCAGAAGCATAAGGATCAAATGTAATATTAAGATCCAGTAACTGTTCAATATTTTTCCACATAAAAATATGTAACTATCAAATTGAACTGACAACATCCTGTTCTTTCTTTTTACAGGAGGCCTGCTTATCTGTCTGCCCCGGGAGCAGGCTGCCCGCTTTTGTGCTGAAATCAAATCCCCTAAATACGGAGAGGGCCACCAAGCATGGATCATCGGAATCGTAGAGAAAGGAAACCGCACCGCTCGCATCATCGACAAGCCGCGAATCATAGAGGTGGCACCACAAGCAACCACGCAGAATGTCAACCCAACACCCGGTGCAACTTCCTAATCCTCCATTTGCTGCATCATAGAACTGAACCCAAAACCTCCATTGAGAGATGTTAAACCTATAAACTACAAAATCATGGTAGAGTGTTGTAATATGTACACACACACAATAGTAAAAAAAACAACCAAGGCTGGGTTGGCGTGTATTATCATGGAAACAATCCCACATAATGGCCTCGAGGGCAAGTCACCCACCACCCAGTGGACTCAAGCTGCAGTGATCCCCATGATAAGAAATTGGCAAAAAATAGTGCATACTTATAATTCATTTGCCTTTTCTGTCTGTTATGTTAAATGTGCTTGGCTGGCGGGCAGCTTCTCATAAGAGTGATGATGAAGACATTAATCTGAATGCCCTTGATTCATTTTGAATCTTTGCAAGTCTGTAGTCGGACGCCTCTTTGGTTTCTTTTAAAACTGCTCTCATCAAACAAGCAGACTGTGTTTTGGTGTTTTTGTTCGTTGTCCGTTCACGTTGTACAGTTTAAAAGCCTAGTTTTAGTTCATTACTGTAACTGATGCCTTGAAAGACATAGAGTGACCAGAACTGCTTGTTTTTTATTACTTTGACTTTTTGTATTGTCCCCATATAAACTAATAAATACTCAAATACCAAATGGTTTGTTTTGCTACTTTGAAGCTGCACTTGTGAAAGGTGTAGTCAGTGGGCTTTAGCTATGTTGTAGATCTTGTTCACCAGTTTAAGATAGGTTTTATCATTTATATTAAACCCGTTTTATATGTATATATATATATATATATATATATATATATATAT